TCTCTCACTGCACACACTGTAATAAATACACTGCTTCTGATGGTGTAGGCTAGATATGACTGTCCCCAAGACAATGATTCTTTTTTACTCAAGAAAATCGGTACAGTAAATAACTTTTCTTTCCTTCAAGACAATCATAGTGCTTGAGGGTGCCGAAACAGAAAAACAAAATATCTCCACAAATGTCTCCAAACAGTCAAGCTGAAAATCTAAGCCAAAGTTTCATTTAACAGCCTGTCAGTTTTCTGATGTGAAGCTAATGAATGCGGTGGCAAACAAATCCATCAAACCTAACATCAAAACAACTGCACTTCATCCCACCAAACGGAAAAATGAAATACAACCTGCGGGCCAGTGCTTTGATCCAACCCAGCCAGCAAGCAGACCTGTGGGTGTCACCACAGCAGCCGCACAGAAGTAGTCATGGACTCCACTGCACCACGGAAGGAAAGAATGCTTCAGAAACGAAAACAGTCATCGCAAGCATGCACGAAGGTCTTATTTTAATTGCTAACCTAGCTGTTAACATATTTTCAAATCTGTATCAGGAAAAAAATAGCATTTAACTCTAGATTACTCCAACATTCACAAATAAAGATTCCTGAAATGAATAATTAGATGATATGTTCCACTTTACCACAATTTCACAAGTGGAGGTTTATCAACCTTTTGTTCTTTCTGAAAAATCCCTAAAGAGAAAAAAAAATGACTTTCTTTTTTGTGCAAAAATACAGTACAAGCCTATTGCAGAGAACTTACCTCAACTCTGCCAAGGTCAGCAAGCAAGTGGGCACAAGACTATAAGAGTACTCTCAATTTTTTTCAGTAATGATCTTGCCTCTGATAAATGAAGTGGGGAAAAAGTACATAACTGCCCTCTTAGGTAGGTTGGTCCTGCCAAATGCAAGACCCTTTTGTTCTGGAGCATCTTGCAGGATTTGGCTATACTATATTTGGAAATCAAGGCAAGACAGCGTGTATCACTGAGAAGAAGAGAAGCAAAGAGAGAAAGGAGAAGTATGGTAAGGGCCTGGGGCATTATCAGAGATTTTTAGAAACAGGAATGGTCAAACTAATTTGTTATCAATGCTAAGAGGTAAAAGTCCCCTCACCCCCACCTCTGCTTATTTTTCCCATATCTTCTACACAATCTATACACACACACACACACACACACACACACACACACAAATCTGTGTGAAAGATGAGGTAGTTTGTAAGGATGCTTTGAAAAAGGACCATCTGGATTAAAGCACTAAAAAACAGAGAATATACCCACTGGCACTGAAATATCCACAAAATACAATCATTTTGCTAAGAATATCAAACCTCCAGGAATTCGTTAAAATTTGGAAGAAGTGTATTTGGGCTTTGCACAAACAAAAAAATGGAATTTCAAATCAACTGAAGCCAGATTTTAAAAGCATGGATGTTTTCTTAAACATCACATATCAGTAGATCAGTAATAAATTCCAGTGAAAGCCACAGAAGCACCCTCTCCAGTCCTACTCCAGGGATAGCAGCAAAAGTCTCATACTCCAACAAAAGTCAAGCAGCTAAGGGCAAAGAAAGCAGTCCTTGAACCCTTGCCAGTACCAACTCTACTCTCACATCTGTTCTCCTGGGACAGATTATCTTCTAAGTGATGAACTCATAGAAACATACATGGTTCCTGGCACATAGGATACACGCCTAGTCTCAATAAATAGAGCTTGGTCCCTACCTACTATCCACTTGAAGGATCTGAATATGTTCCTACTGACCAAAGCCTGTTGGCTTATGATCAAAAAAATCTTTTATCAGTGAACATAGGGTTATATTTTCAAAAGCTAGTTTTTTAAATTAAAAATAGCCTTTTGTAACAGCTCTCTCCTGAGTCATCAAAGTAAAAACATTGGTTTATAACACAGAAAATTATATATATTTCATATCATACATATGAATTACTTATATGTACATATAATATGTACAGACCCCACACTCTGCACTACGAACATACAGATACTACATCAAGTGCTTTTATATACTCAAATCAACCCCAGACGACAAGTGAAGCAGGTGGCACCCCTCAACAGTGCCTCAACTATGAAAAAGTGCCAGTATTTTTACAATAATTATAGAGTGTATCCCATCCTCACTTATGGACAATGACATTTTTTACTGTTACTATTTAGCATAAATTGAAGAAGGCAAAGAATTGAGACAAATTAACAAAAATGGGCATCCTCAAAGCTAAAAGTCTTTTTATTGCAATTCATAATTAATTCACTGCACATTATTAGTCCCCAGCAAAACACATAAAATTGTGCCCACTGCACAAATTTATCAAGGATTAAAAATACACACACACAATACAGCAAATTCATAAAGTTAACTAAAGACTCAGACTTGGAGATCAAAAATATGTGTCAAATAATTGATTAAAGACACCAATATCTGGAAAAAATGTCATCTTACCACACTGTAACATAAGAGAACTTGTTAAAAGAGAATAGCCAAGAAAACATTAATATTGAAGGTATAATTTTAAAAAGCAAAGGATGTTTTAATGAAAGCTTCAAAACTAGATCTGTTACAAGTTTAGCTTCTTATTTTTATGCAGAATAACTAAACCTGGTTACAAATTCCTACCATATCATCAAGTCAATTATTAATTGGCCCTCTCTGCTAGGCAGGTATTTCTGCCTCCCACACCCCGAACAAAGATGTCCTCATCCTAACCATAGATGTTTGTGAACATGTTATCTTACATGACAAAAGAGATTTTGTGAATTGTTTGCTCTGTAATGTAGGGAGGGGACTACATACAAAAACTGGAGAGAAGCCCCTAGGAACGAAGTCTAGTCCCTGGCTCACAGTCAGAAAGGAAATCAGACCTTAGTTCTACAACTGCAAGGAAGTGAATTCAACCAACAATCTGAAGAAACAAAGAAATAGACTCTTCCCCAGCATCTCCAGTAAGGAATGCAGTCCTGCACACACCTTAATGTTTGGTGGCAACAGTGGGCCTATAACCTGCAGAACTATGACATAATAAATGGGTAATATTTTAAACCACAAAGATTTTGGTGATTTGCTACAGCAGCAACATACAACTAATATAGTCTCAGATCAGCACTACCTGGCCAAAGGAAGGGAGGGGTGGTGACAACATCCAAAAATATATCAAATGCGTGCAGTTAGGTCAATTTTAAATTAGCTGCCCAACAAAGCGTTACAGCGTTGAATATCTTGAACCCAGAACCAAAGAAAGCATAGACCTTACTAAATTGAATGAGTAGATATTCACACAAAGTTCTTTTCCTTTCTCCTTGCAACAAATCTGTAGGGCACAAGGAGAGGTATTTCTAATTTATATATGAAGAATAACTGACTTTCCTATTATTACGTGGCTAGCCCAGTAGACAAGTTGGGCCTCAGATCCCTGCCTCCTCCAAGGTACACCACTTCCTAATATTCCCACAATTGCAACGGGCTGTGTCAGCTGGGATTTCATACAGAAAGACCACAGATCTCACTTCTGTGGCTGCACTCCACTCTGACTCTACTTCCACATGGAAATGTGGAAACACCCAAAACTCTTCGCATTTTAGCTACTCCCCAAGGCTGAAAGGTCCTCTTTTAGCCAATACCACGAACTAGCTCTGAAACCTGTACTAAGAAACATCAAGCAATTGTTGTGGTGATATGAACATGTGATAGCCTATGTCAACCATGAAAGGTACACACCATAAAACATCAGATCTTTTTTTAACTTCGTGGCTACAACACTGTTAATGCAGCTGGAAGCATAACATTTCTGCAAAAGCCCTAAAGTACATACTCTAAGTATTCTATTCATTATTAGGTTTATTATAATACACAGGATGTTTAATGGGAAGAAGCACTTCTGTTCTGTTCTTTCTAAATTACCCCTCATAAATAAAATTACTCAGAACAGTAAAGTCTTCTAGTACTAGGGCTTTCTTTTACATCAAGAAATCATTCAAATGTTTCCTGGGCTGCCAAACAGCTATACTTTTATTTGTATTTTAACGTATTAAGAAATTTTTTAAATACACATGTAAATTAAATCTAGAGTTGTCCTCCCTGAATATAATTTCTATCCAAGTCCACTCTGGTTCCACATGCAAGTTTTATCAATGTAGAATGAATGATATTCAGTAACGCCATACAATGGCCAATATAGGGCACATAATCTTTATTTATCATATTCTACTAAATCTATATCAACTTTGCATACTCTGTAAAATACACAGTTTCATTTACAAGCTGCCCTCTGCCAGCACTTTTGCCTTAAAAGCTACAGGAAAAGCAGCAGAGCTAATAGAAACTACCACCACTTTGAAGATGTCCTCTATTTAACACCACAGGGAGAAAGTAATTAAATTTCATAAAAGTTGTTGCTTGTGAATCAAAATACATAGTATGTGGACTAAATTAAATATATGGGCAAGAGATCCAAAATTTTATACCAAATTTAACATGAAACTCTATTTCCTGTTAAAATATGCTCTACATTATTACTTTTAAGAAATTCATTTCTGTACTAAAGGCAGTTTTAATTCTTTCTACCATCCTCCCTCAATCTCTTATTACAGTTTTACCAGACACTCCCTTTTATAAATTGTTGTTTTCTAAGCCATGAATTGAACAGGGAGAGATCTACGCCTATCTAACATGAAGCCACATGAAACCACTGGAAAATCTTGTAAAAAACCTAATTGTTGACCTTAAGAGAGAAAGCAAAAACCTATTACATAAAGTTACCTAATAGGGTAAACTGTTTCATATTAATCTCAAAACAGAAAAATGTAGCCACAATTGGTAATATAGCCTACATTAAAAAAAATGTATCTAGTCTAAAATAAATTACTGTGATGAGAGCCACAGTGACAATGGACAATGAGGAAATAAATGCTGCACACAATCTTAGGCTTCCCACTACAATAACAAGAATACACATTTAATTTATGCTTTATTTCTGAGGTCTAACTTACCAATTTAGCAACTTTTCCATAGTCAATCCATCTGACAGTAGCAAAATTTGTAGATTCTGCACAGTTGAAACCATGATTAAAACCAGCATGATAGCCATATGGGAAAGTGATCATAAATTCACCAGCCTCCTGTGTGATCTGCCAAGAAAGAAACATATAATATTTTGTAGTAATGAGACTTCTCAAAATGAGAATACAATTAAAATATATTTTTTAGCAAAAACAAAGAAAAATTGCTATGACATCAGAAAGAAGGTCCCCAAGATTCTTTATTTAATCCTTTAATAGCATTTTTCAGGAAATTTTAAGACTTGTCTGAATAAAATATGACCTTCTAGTACTTGAGGTCAATTGCTCAATCCATAATTAAAGCTACCCTATTTATTTAAAAATATCTTCAAGTTATTCAAATAAATTTGTTCATATTAGCTATCAATGTTTACACTTTAATACTTTACAAATTTGCATTACCAGAGTTATATGTAAAAGACATATCATAACTGACATTGTTGCAGTTAGAGATGAAAAAACTGGACAGGCTAGGCTATAAATTCTTCTTAATACAGAGTTGGTGGTATTTGTCAAGTTATTCTTTCGTAACACTTTGAAAACATTCAATTAACTGTATTCCATTTAATAGTAAAACTTCTACTCAAAGAATTATTCAAATAAATTTATGTATGTATGAGTACATTTTTAAATATAATTATAATAACCTGCATAAATAAGAAGCCTAAAAACAAACATGAAAAATATATTTATTCTGTTCCTATTTTAAAGATATTTATTGTTTCATAATCACCAAAGCAACATAAAATATACCACAGATTAGAGAAAAAAGTAAAGCAAATTTTTAGTGTTACTTATTTTTAAAAATTTACCTACTCAATACTAGATCATAAAATGTATTACTCACTCCTTCAAATGGAGTAAAGCATATTTGTTTTCCATTATCTGATCTTAAAATATTTCTAACCCAGCAACAATTGGAGTGAAGTCCTTTGTATCTCTAAATTCTTCATGTTGGTGCCAAGTAACATAAACAATGCTCATAGGATTTGGGAACTGAAGCACAGTTTCTCCTTGATAACATTTCTAATGTATCTGTTCACATTCAGAGCCTGTATTTAGCCCTGATAATTAAAATTTTTAAACCATACTTTTTTTTTTTTTTTTGAGACACAGTCTCACTCTGTTGCCTGGGCTAGAGTGTTGTGGCGTCAGCCTAGCTCACAGCAACCTCAAACTCCTGGGCTCAAGCAATCTTTCTGCCTCAGCCTTTCCAGTAGCTGGGACTATAGGCATGCAACACCATGCCCAGCTAATTTTTTCTGTATATAAAACCGCACTTTTAATTATCCTACTGACTAAAATAAAATCTATTTATATTTTCTTTAATTGGGACATAATTTATATACAGTAAAATGCCCACATAGTAAATGCACATATTTGGCCAGTTTTGACAAATGCATATACCCATATAACCCATAAGCCTATCACTTCCATGATCCAAGAAACCTCCCACATGCCTGGCCTTCACAGTTCCCGGGCCACCCATATTCCCAACCCCAGTAACAACCACAGTTCACCATTGGTTAGATTTTCCTATCCTAGGACTTCATAAAAAGGAAATCATATAATTTATTTATGATCAGCATGTTTTGAAGATGCATTCTTTCTCTTGCTTGTAATCAATAGCTTACTAGTATTTACTGATGTTCCATTCTGTGAATATACCATGCTTTGTTTATCCTTTCACATGTTGATGAAGGTTTGAATTGCCAAGTGTTTGCTTTACAGAATTAAAAATATACAGCTCAACAAACCTGTGGTACATGACTGATAATTAGGAATTTCTCTAAAATCTAAAACAAGTATAGTTTTCAGAAGGAACTAAAAATGAGAAAGAAGAATTAGGGTGAAACACCTCCTAGGTGCTGTCACCTAACCGAGGAATCAGATGTGATCGCTCACTCTGTTGATCCACCCTCGGAATGGATTTGTGCATTTCTTATGGAGAAATATAAATTTCTTACATTATTACCACCTTTATTCTTTGCTTCTCTATTATCTCCTACCCCATGACTTCTCCCCCCCAATTGTTAAAGTGCCTTGAAACCAAAGAGTATATTGTATTTATCATTTACTCTCCATCATAGTTGTCCACATGGTCTCGTTGGTCTGACTATGAACGATCTTAAGAAAGTATTCATGAATGCTTGGAGAATTTCACCATCAAAATGGACATAAAACATCTACAGGGATGTCCCAGTCATGTACTCAGATGGTGGGCAGAAAAAAATATAAAAAAAACATAAAAACAAGATTAATATTCAGCATCCAAGACTGTCAAAACTAGAATAGGTACCATTTTGTTTATGAATAAATGGGAAAATGGAGTAAGATTCTATCATAATCTTAATAAAAATAAAATTCAGAGGAGATTCCACAATGCAACTCTCACTGTCAGGATATTTCTCTTATACCTACTCTAAATTAAAGCCAGGGCAGTGCCCTTTCCGAAGGTATCCAACTGGAGTAAATGATTCCCGTGGTTCATTTCAGTCCTAACATGGCAAGAAATAAGTATATGGGTAAATACATGTGTGTAAACATACAGGAGACACACTGTATAAATACAGGTGCACACACTGCAATCCAACTGCTATTCTAGAGATGCTAACATGATGTGGGGAGAGTACTTTTTTCCCAACAATTCTGAAATTTGCCTCATGACACCCCCATCCCACCAATGAAACCCCAGAAGAATGTGTTCTGCAATGAGCAGCAGTTCAGCTGTCACTTGGCAAAAGAGACAGGCTTACTACTGGCCAACATGGTTCTAGTTCCATTGCTTTTAGCCACATGAGAACACAGCCCAATTTTTACCTTTCCTGGTCTCACTGAATCTCGTTAATTAGCTAGGTGCTTCTTCCTTCTTCCTTGTGTTATGTGATAAAACAAAACTCACTATGCTCAACTGTTTCTACTCCTACTATAAAGGTGGGAGAGGGATAAGACTGCTGCCACTGGATTGAGGAAACTACATTTACTGCTCCATGGAATCCCACCTACAAGCCATCTCTGCCCCATGTAGAAAGTCCTGCTCTTGCCATGATGAAAAACAGCAATGGCTCCTACTGAATTCAACTCTTAAATTTTAGACCTTTGTCATTTCTAAAAATAGGTGTGTGTCAGTTTGCCGACATATAAAGCTAATTTACTGCCTCTAGGGTAGTAAACTGATAAGAAAGTACAGGGACAAAGTAAAACAAGTCCATTTTATAAGACTAAAACAATCATCACAATCTCATATCATTAAAGAAGTTGGAGAGGGGAGTGCACACAACCTAAAAACAGACATAGCTATTTATTACACAGATTTTTATGAGTATGTATGTATATGTGTACATTAAAAGAATGAAAAAACATATTTCAACTGATAAACAAGCACCTAAAGAAAGAGGGTTGAGTTGAGAAACAAGAGTGTTACTATGCAATGTCTACTATTAAAGGACCTTATAGATTATCTCTTTTCTTCTTCACAATAACCCTATTAAGTACTCACTATTATCCCAATTTTAAACCTGAAGAAGCTGAGGCTCAGAAAAAATTATGTGATTGACCTGGAATGAACTTGGGAGGCTTAAATCTGCAACCTGTGCTACCACCTTCTACTCTGCCACATGTTACATTATCATAATCAGAGAATAAGCTCCTTGAGGAGCTTATCTGGGTGGAGGCAGAAAGAGGAAGCGGTAGGAGTTCACAGGAAGCACCATTGCCAATCTACCTTCTAAGTCCCTGCTGTCTCACCATCTCAGGACTGATACTCATCCTGCCACTTTCCACAAAAGCCATGAAATGGCCCATCCACAAAAGGCCAGATGGGGGAGCCTGATGCATCTAATTATCTACCACACAGGAGTTGGAGAGCTAGAGCCCAGAAACGGGGTGTGGGGTCCCTGCCTCCTTCCCCACAAAGGCTGGAAAAGAGATCCAGGCTTTTAAGGCAATGAACCAATTCCACAGCCCTGCAGCTTCACGCGAATCCCACTCCACAGACCAGCCCTAACCCATTGCCAGTACCTAACACCAGCCCTTAACCCACAGAGAAGGTTTTTATGTCTTGGGGGCACTAGTCCACTCGTTCTCTGCCTTCTACTATCCCAACTTGAGTCCAAGTACCTAATGAAGCAAATGCCAATCATCTAAAATAAACATCCGGCAATTTATTCATAAACAAAACAGTGCTACAGCCCATCCCCAGCTCCTCTCACACCACAAGCATGCATCAAGGGTGCACATCTCTGGGGCATTTTCCCTCAGATAAAAGTGTATGAGTAAAAGCAGTGCTGAGAGCACGCTCCCAAATGTGAGCCTGGCCCATGCACGACTGCCCCATGGACAGCCTGTGGGGGCAGGAGCCACTTCAAGCACAAGAGTGATGCTTGGCACCTGGGAAAGTTTCGCTTTAATCCCACCAACCCCAAAATGAGGCCATATTAAGGGCCTAAGATGAAGAAGATGATTTTAGTCACAAGTGAAAAGCTTCTAAGGTAGGAAACAGCAAGGATTATGGGGGGGAAAATCAAATAAGAAACAGAGAACAAAGAAGAGGTATTTTTTAATGTTTCTGCAAGTAGCTAAGTACTTAATCCTCCTGAGAGTGAGAGAGCTTTTATTTATCTGGTCAAAACTTTTTTTCATTTCAGCTTCTTCACATAAAAATGTTCAGGCTCTGTAATAATTCTGACCCAATAACCACACACTGACACAAAGAACATGGGATCGGATATCCACCGAGTTTTATAGAACTTATCTCCAGAACTACTCCACAGAAGCAATATCTACTTATTATTTCATCAGGCAATTTTATCCATAATGAAATCTCAATTGTATTATATCTAAATGTGTTTAGAGGCAACATACTATAATCATTGATTCTAACTAACCCAACTGCTAATAATAATTGCTCTCAATTCTTTTTAAAAAATAGATCACATATACATATATTATGTTGCTCATATAAAAGACTTTAATATAAAAAGTGCTTCCTCTTATTCTGCAGAATGTGCTACATTTTCAGTACTATTTTAAGTGAACTATAACAGCATGAGATCTCTAGTAAATATATCCTGAAATACAATTAATTTCAATTAGGATTTAGATAATTACTGTGTTGCAAAACACGAATTTGAATTTCTCTGCCCACATCCTAAAAGATCCTACTTGAAGTCAAAGATACATTAGCCTATGTTAAATTCATCTTAGATACAAATCACACACACAAATCAATTTGCATAAGAATACTAAAGTACCTTGTCAAAGGGAATACCATACTTTTTCAGTACTGATGGAGAAATCAGTGTCATCTTGTGGCGAAGAAATGCATCACACCCTTGGGAGCTGCTTGGGAAAAAACCTAAAAAGAAATAATAAATATAACCAGCATTTTGTCAATCAAGTTAAATTTTAGATAGCTTTTTTTTACATTTAAGTTCTAGTGTTCTTTTACTATGACAGTTTTATCCAAGCATAGATCCACCCCATGACCAAAAAGCCTTTGTACTAAAAGTTAGAGTCAATACCAGATTTCCCAAAAACTAATATATATTTATATCACCAAAGTTTGATCTTTTATACAAAAAAATTTACCAATAATTAATAATTACTAAACTTCAGGAATCAATTTCAATTTGAAACAATTTTAGAATCTATCTACCTGCTAAATGGAAAAATTGGTATACATTTTAATAAAAGAATCTCTCATTTTAAACTCCTAGATTTGATAATTCCAGAAGCACACATCCCAATGCCTGGCATGCACTAACCACAAAGCAGTGTCCCCACTTTTGATTCTTTCTGATCAATACAAAAATAATGTTACTAATTTCCAAATTCAACTTCCTGGCCAACACCCATGAAATGTCTGGAAACTGGCCTCATGGGCCTTAATGGGAAAAGTGTTTTGAGGAGCCTTTTAAATGAGAAGGCTGAAGATACAGCAAGTCTTTTGCTCAACAGTATATTTTACACCAAGACATAGCCAGTTTTCTCCATCACTGACTTCAATCCTGCAGTTCTGTCTGAGGCAGACTCTCATTAACTCAGGGATGCAAGCTAGAAGAAAATTTTATGCTTGATGTCCTATTTGTCGCCTTGCTCACTCAGAGGGAAGACTGCCGTGCAGGGGGAGGGGTGGAAAAGCAAAAAGATAAAGAGAGAAGAACAAGGAACATGGAAAAAACAGAGAAGCACAGAGGGAAGACACAGAAGGAAGAGGGAAGGCACCAAGAAAACACGTGGTCTGTATGAGTAAGGCGGGAAGAAACACAGATGCTGTCTAACTCCTCCATGGCCAAAAAGAAGGAAAAACTGCTGGAATGTGACTTATCTAACTCTGTGGTTCACAACATGCAAATAACTCAAGAATGTGGCCAACTGGTTGACAGAATCACCAATATGCATTAACTAATCAAGGACCATTTTAATCTCATAGAATGGAAGCATTCTCCAAGAATGTTTTTTAGTAAATAAACTTTAATTGATGCCACCATTGGGTATGTGAGGCTACCATTCATCAAAGAGAAAGAAATCCAACATGCAGGAAAGAGCCACTGGGTTATAAAGAACTACCTACAAAAAGTAGTACATTCTGCTTTAGAATCTGTACCTTAATTAAGAAGAAAAAACTTAGAAAGGATAGTATAGAAAAGTGTGTGTCCAAACAAATATCAGAAATACTAACTACTATCATTCTTTACAATATCAATATAAATAAAAGGTATAATTTTGCCCTTTATGGTCATTTAATACAGCCCTCTGCTTATGATTAATATTCATAATACATAAATACAAAATAAAATTCATGAATAGAGAGAAACTGCCACACTGATATAAGGGCCAAGACCACGTAACAAGATATCCCAAGTCTTACACAGACAGAAGAAGACACAACTGGTCAGTCCCCAACGCATAACCCAAAGAAACATTTTAATAACACAATTGAAATGGATCCATCAAAGTTTTCAAATCTGTAACTTCTGCAACACTAAATGATTTAAGTTTTAAATTAAAATCAATGAAGAAGAGTCTATTTAATTTTCTTTTGATATGGATTTGTAATCAGGAGCTAAACAATGTGATGACTGGTCATAAGTTAATTTAAATTGGAAAACCACTGAAGGAAGGTAATTTGTAGTAGATAAAGCAGTTCACATTGGGACAAAATTTATATTTACAACATGCTGTATTTTACAAGGTCCTGGAAAACACCTCATAAACAGTACAAATTATGTACAAAGTATGTGTCTTAAAATGAATTTTCCTTCAAAATGCCTGCAGGGCTACATGGTTCATACTCACCCTCACTCCACAGTCTATAAAAAGTATTTTATTCAACATATAAGTCAATACAACTAAAATAGTATTTGACACGAAAATGATAGTATTTTAAATGACACAGGACTGTTCCAGATAATGAAAGATTAGTATCTTTGATAATAAATAGAAAAAAACAGCTTTGGGAATCACTTGTACGAAAAATAACAAAATCACATGTCACAAAGATAACACTGAACGAAAAATTCTACCTTAAGACCATGTGAGTTTTTCAAAAGTCGCCAATTAAACAGGCCACTCAGGATAGGTCAAAATTTTTGCAAGTAAGTTCTTTAAAATGTGCCCTTTTGAATCAGTTTTGCATATTCTCATATTAACTTCCTTGGTGTTCTTTCTTAAAATTTAAGTAATTTATTTAGAAGAAATTTTCTCTAAAAGGTATATTTTAATGGTACTAGTACAACATCCCATTAGACTTGTCAATTTACCAGGTCATACACACCAATGGGATAGTCCACTCCCTCACAACCCTGAGGATCAAGATGTTCCAATAAGGAAAGTTCTGCACTGATCCCTCAATCATCTACTAGTGGCATCCCACTGCAACATGTCACCAGGTAGTATCAACATCTCTACCAGCACAGCTCCCTGGGAGGAACGCAGGAGAGCTTCACAATGACCTTGGGATTAAGAAGGACGCTGCTTCTCCCAAAATATTGCCTTGTTTTTATCTCCTGAACCTCCATTTCAAGCTGGTTGGCAGAAAACTTACAGTTATAATTTCCAGCTAGTTTAACAAGTATGTGTGTCCTTACGCATATGGGTCTTTTACTGCATTCCTAAAACCACTTTGTTTCAGTTCTCACTCTTCCTCCCCTTGACATGCCGTATGGACAATGTATGCACAGGTCACACAGGGATCAAACAGATTCCAGTCAAGCTAACCAGGACTTTCCTGGCTCAGCTGAGCCTCCACGCTACCATCACCCCCGACCTCAAATCACAAAAATCGTGATTTCCCCATAATAATTCCTCCCTGCTAGCTAGCATTCCTTTCCTGAATTCTTCCTAACCATTCTCTGTTACCACTTTTCAGGACTTTAAGTCTTTTACCCCATGTTCAAATTATGTTAGCTTGGCATATTTTACAAATTATTTTTCAATAATGAAAATCCTACTGGGAACATGGCTGGATATAAAATATCCAATTACATTTAAACACAGACAATGATATCACGGACATCATTAAAAAGAAATTAAGTTTAGGGACTCTTTCACTATTCTTTTTTTTTTTGAGACAGAGTCTCACTCTGTTACCCAGGCTAGAGTGCCATAGTGTCAGCCTAGCTCACAGCAACCTCAAACTCCTGGGTTCAAGCAATCCTCCTGCCTCAGCCTCCTGAGTAGCTTGGACTATAGGCATGCACCACCATGCCCAGCTACTGTTTGACTATTCTTGATGCAAGCCAGCCCATAGTAAGATGGAAATAAATATACCTTGATGCCTCACGCATTGATCGCTATGCCTAAGCCATGAGTTAGGCATGGAAGCATTAGATATATCAGTAGTCTTCTGTATTTTTTATGGCATACAGCAATGTTCCCCAACCTTTTTGGCACTGGGGACCAATTTCATGGAAGACAATATTTCCATGGATTGTAGCGGGCGGAGGGGTAGGGGGGCATGGGTGGGTGGGTGGGTGGTTGGGATGATTCAAGGGCATTATGTCTATTGTCAAACCTCTCTGCTGGCCGGGCACGGTGGCTCACGCCTGTAATCCTAGCAATCTGGGAGGCCAAGGCGGGCAGATTGCTCGAGGTCAGGAGTTCAAAACCAGACTGAGCAAGAGTGAGCCACCGTCTCTACTATAAATAGAAAGAAATTAATTGGCCAACTAATATATATAGAAAAAATAAGCTGGGCATGGCAGCACATGGCTGTAGTCCCAGCTACTCGGGAGGCTGAGGCAGGATTGCTTGAGCCTAGGAGTTTGAGGTTGCTGTGAGCTAGGCTGACGCCACAGCACTCACTCTAGCCTAGAGAACAAAGTGAGACTCTGTCTCAAAAAAAAAAAAAACCTCTCTGCTAACGATAGTCTGTGCTTGCAGCCACTCCCCAGTGCCAGCATCACTGCATCAGATCCACCTCAGATCATCAGACATCAGGTTCTAGGGCGTGACCTTCACGTAGGCAGTTCATAGTAAGTTACAGTTACAGTAGATTCCCCCTCCTATGAGAATCTAATGCCACGCTCATCTGACAGGAGGCGGAGCTTATGCAGCAATGTGAGCAATGGGGAGCAGCTGTAAATACAGATGAAGCTTCTTTCCCTCATTGGCCACTCACCTCCTGCTGTGCGGCCCCATTTCTAAGAGGCCACGGACCAGTACCAGTCTGTGGCCAGCAGGGTTGGGGACCATAGGCTTACAGGGACCTTTCGAATTGAGCATTTATAATCATGGGTGTTTTGTTTATAAGTTTTAAAAAACCAGGCATTGTAATATAATATTTTCAGACCATCAGGCTTAATGAATACTTAAGGAAATAATATTTACCATTTTGAGAGCTAATAAAAGCACATTTTCCTAATACAAGGAGAGAGGTGTAAGAACAGGTTAATTTAGAATCTGACCATAAAATTGAAAATAACTTGTTATTTATTGCTGCCCTTCTATCCTACTGATGCCAGAGGCTCATAATCTCTTTTAGACCAAACCACCCTAAAAAGATCTGGTGATGGCTTCCCAGAAATCCACATATATGCCCAATTTTGAATACAATTATAGAGAATCCTATATAATTATAGGGCCTGCTTGCAAAGCACCTATAGACCTGGCACAGGGATCTCTGCAATTCAGGTTAGGACCCTCTGCCCCACAGGCTTAAACTCAAGATTGCTAGTCAAAAGAACAAACAAAAAAAAGGCCCCACACATACACACTGACACACACTTAAAAGCATGAAGTAAATTAATCCTATATAACAATAATTCTTCTGTTCCCTTTTGCTGAATAAAGTAACAAAACTAACATAGGTATTGCAAGAAAATATAAGGAGGTAAAACCATCAACTCACTTCTACTCTACTGTTGTTTGGACCAAGATACCTGTTAATAATTATCCTTCCAAAATCAGCTGTGCAAAATCCCAAGTCACATATTTTCCCAGTACCCAAAACGTTCACCAAGGTAAATCCCTTCCCATATTTTAAAATAATAGTATTTTATTGACAATAAGAGACAAATGAAATATACTTTTGCACAAAAATTTAGACTTTCCCAATTTACCTTAATCCATATTTTGCTTAATATAATAAAAGATATTGTATTATTTCTAAAATAGATGAGATTTAGATATTTTAAAAACTGAAAATCTTTCAAACTGTCATTCATGATTTAACATTATACCTCTATTTTCAACCATATTTGCAATCCAATTGTATCAAACCAAAAATTACAAAGAATGCAATGGCATTATAGATGAATATAAGAAGTATAAAAATTGCAACAATTCACTTGAAAATTTTTATTACATTTATGTCTACATAATATTGGTGAAAACCTGTATAAATGAAAAAGCAGCTGAAGGGCAAAATCAAACTCCTGGCTTTATTAGATGCTGGCATAATGTCTTTCAGATAAAATATTTGTAGGTGCCATACTCAATCAAGATTTCAATAGAAACCAAAATGAAAGCATTCACGCATAAAAGGCAAGTATGATAATTATGATATGCAGACAAGATAATGGAAAATATCTGAGCCTACTTTTCATTTTATGTATCAAGTGCTGCCTTGACCTAGACATTCTATAATGCTCCATCACATTTACTGCATTATTTTATCATTTTAATTATTTTGCAGAATTCAATTAATTTGGCTGGCATCTGGTCAGCAGATGTAAATCCTCCACTATCTTATCGTGTAGGGTCTTTCCCTGCTTCATTTCTCAAAATAATGCTGCAAAAACAGTTATGAATAAACATCCAATTGGTTTAAACTTCTTGTTCATCCTTCAAGTATATTAACCTCTTACTGATTAAACAAATGGCATAGGAAAGTGGCTGCCATTTTCTGGATGTGTCATCTTCAGATAGTTTACTTCAAAGCATTGACAGTCAGTTTATATCAGAAATTTTAGTCAGTGACTCAACACTCTAAAATTTACATTGGCTTCATTTTGAAAGCTCTCTAGTGGTGGTGAGGTTAATAGAAAATGGTGGAATAATTATTACAGAGAAGCAGATAGTTCAGCATACAGTTTAAACACTAAGATCACTGCCTATATAGTTAAGGATTATGGTAATCATCTTCTAAGCTCTAATCTATTATCCAGAACCAGGATTCATCCACCTTAATATTCATGAAAATATTCCCTAACAAAGTTCAAGATTATAATTACATTGCTATTATTACTATAATACATTACATTTAAAAAAACACAGAGGCTTTATAGTGATTAGCCTGCCAAAATTATAATAATGCTTCTTACAAATGAGATACTGTAACTGTTCCTTCTGATACTCTCCTATAATATGGTGGAAAGTAACCTTTAGATGCCATTAACAACATCTGTTCAGAACTGTCAAGTCAAAGATTGGGGTTTCTCAGTGCTCTCATTTCACTATTAAATGAAAGCACATATAATGCAGGAACAAAATTCTTTCCTAATATAAGGCAAACCTAACGTACCCATGAAAAGTAGATCAGCACCTGACTAGAAGGGCACTGCTTACTGAGGATTCAATCCTGCATAAAGGCGGAATGTCTTGCACCTCAGTTATCCTTCAAAGGGAACTCTACTTCCCCTGGAAATAAGTCACTACAAGCCTACATCTTCTTTGGGAAGATTTGCCTAGCAAAACAGAAAATAAGAATGGCAGGGGGCAAATCTGATTCTCCTCCCCATGTGTAAGCAGATGAGAGGAAGGCTGCCTGGAGCTTATGGAAGAAAAAGGAGGAAAGAGGAAGACGACTGTTTCACTAGCACTCTGCATACACAAGCAGGCGGGGGGGGGGGGGGGGAACACAACACGGACGGACCAGCAATAGAGCTTCAGAAGCGTTCTTCATTTTGGCCCTTATGAAGATGGAGAAACCCAGGAAAAATAAAAATTCAACTTTCAATAAAATTAAGTTTAACTTTGCCAGTCCAAGAAGACACAAACTTTCTTGTGTATTTAGTTACCCAGGGCCATTCACCTTCTTACTTCCCTAAGGGCACACTCCCAGGCCCAGTGAGTGACAAAAGAACTGGGTGTGGAAAGTGACATAACATAACCCTTGGAGGAAATGATATAGCAACATAAAATGTAGTCACAAAACACCTGCACCCTGAGACACAACAATATTACTGTCTGGAAGAATGTAACTTAAAGGCAGGAAAAATATTATTGGCACATGATGCTGAACATATTGTATTAAAAGAGAAAAAATTTTGGAAACAACCAATATAGATTAAGAGCAATTACTTGATGAAAAAAATACTAAGCGGGTCAACTAAAATAACCATGAAGATTATGCAACAGAAAAAAATAGTCATAAATTAATGTGAACAATTTTTAATTATTGAATTAAAGAAACAGTTAAAAAGTCAATAACTTGAAAAGAATAAACTCAAAGTGGCATTCCACATTGTAAAAATACCTCAAAAGTAAAAAACCTATCAAGGTAAGAAACAGAGAAAGCAAGTTTTACCTTGAGCTAGTCTTTCAAGTCGTTTTCCATGCTCCGGAGGTATAGCATACCTAAAATTTTAAACATAAATAAAAATTTTAGGTTTATAATTTTGAGCTAGTATCCTAAGGACATTTACTCCCAAATAATGTCATGTAAAAAAATTCAATACCAAACTTCCCTTGGATGAACTGAATAAAGATTAGAAAACCAATCATACAGACACATCCCTTAGACATCAGACAAAAGAAAAATATGCTTATAAATTACCTATTTCAATGTCCCAGCTCACCATTCCAACCACATTGTAACAGATTAGGGAACAAAGGCCCAAGGCCACTAAACTGCTTAGCAAAGTGGGCGGCTAGCTACAGCCTAGAAACTTTCTCCCAACTTACAGCACTCTAGCTCTCCAGGCAGTTTTTTTGGTTTTATGTTTTTTGTTTTATGGTTGGTTCATTTTAGGTTTTGATTTTAAGAAAATAGGAAGGGTTATCTTTTTAACTTTTAAAATATTTTTAGTAATAACCAGGATAGAATACAAACCTATTATAGCCACATTTGTATTTCCACCAAATCTTTCTAAGAACACTGTATCTTTTGAAGAAGATCTTAAATAAAAGATTACCAGCCTTTGAAAAACAGCTCTCATTTATTTCACAATTAGGTGACTTTTTAAATCTTGAATACAGTAGTAATTTTTTACCCTTGAAGAACACAAGTACTCATATTTCTAGTTCCCGGTGTTTTCAAAAGTGATATACTTGAGATTATTTACTGTGGACTTATAAATTTGAAAACAATAATTTCAAAATATCCTACACAAATCCTAAACTCTATAGGAATTTTTAATGGGGAAATAAACAAATGATCATTTCACATTTTATATAAAAATGATCTATTATTTTTGAAGACCTACATTTGCTATATTTACTAGCCTAATTTACATTAAGTACAAGTTACTTCTTACTAAAGTAACTTATCTAATTGTACTTGACACCACACTTGGTTGCATTTAATGCCACTGATAACATATGCAAAACTTAATTGGATCCAGTGTAACTAGGCAATTCACTAAGAGAAAATCCAATCATATATCCTGTTGCTTAAGGCACTCCTAATGAAATTATTCCAACTGAATTGGGAAGATAAAATTTTAGCATAACTGAATGACTACCACCCAGTGTATATTTATGGACACTTCTTACTAGTTTTTAATTCCTGGCTTATATCACAAATATACCCAGGGGAAAAAACCAGCATAGGTATACAGGAGGGCTGTGTGTGCATAAACATGTGAGTGAGCATGTGTATATCCACTCCAGGCAAGAGGGTCACATCCCTCATATAGACAGACACACTCAAACACACTCATATAATGTGCCTGCCCACAAAGGCTTGGATGTAGATGAAGATATTTATGTATTCAGATTCATTTTTCTTAAAAAGTGGCAAAGTTAAAGATGCTCAATCTGAAGTTCAGTCATCTGTTCAAAGAAAATGTAACCATGTTCCTCTGCAAGAGGAAGAAGTAGGGCATGATGGCTCTACCCTACCTCTGGTCCTCTGTTTACTGCTAGCATTTTAATCATACCAAGTCACTCCCTCAATACCTCTCTTCCTAGGTAGCCCTTATTAGCCTCTTCTTGTCCATAAGTATACTGTCTCCCAATACAGCCATTTCTGTCTTAGCCTTATAATTTAACTGGTTCTACTTTTCTTCTTTAGATTTGGGACAATGTCTCAATCCCTTTTCAAATTCTATAAAAGATCAAGTTCACTTTTAATGTCATAAATAATTATTAATAAATGTCTTATGGTTAACCAACCATTGCTATAGCTACGTAGCTTCAGAAATCATCAAAGGATGAAAACTTCCTTCTAACCACAGACCCATACACAGGAAGACTTGCAATATCTCCCAAGAAGAATGGAAAGAATCCACAAATTGAAAGCCGCCTGTGGTAATATCCACTGAGGCACAACAGGGCAAAAACAACTTCAAGGAAGGGACACTGTCTCGAACTAGGAAAGACTAGTTTTAAATTTTTAGGAATTCATCCAAGGGTCAAATCATCTAGTTTCTTACTGTGAACAATAAAATCAGAGCGCTACCCCACTCAGTAGTTAAGAAACGATATGCATACATGTATCATGTTCACAACTGCAAAACCTTACTCAAAAGATACTTTTAATAATTTTCATAATCCAATTATCTCAATCAGTCAATAGCTCCCAGAGGGATCAAAGAACAATTTTTTCTCTACATACAAGTCAAGGGCTGGAAGGCCCATTAAGGAAAATCTAGTTTAGTGCTTCTAAAACTTTTTTCTGTTTCCATACTACCTCTGATTACTCGCAGTAACTGGCTACTGAGAGAATGAAGAACAACAGATACACAACTCCCTTGGGGATGGGCTACTCAACATACGCAGAAAAAAGCTGCTTAGGTGATTCCAACAGGGCAATACATTGGGGTGGATGGATGGACAGACGGGTGAACGGATGGATGGAGAGAGGGTGAGCGACAAGGAGAGAGGAAGGGAGAGAAGGAGTGATGGATATGGACAAGACGACAGATGTATAGATGGATGGATGTATGGATGGGTGGATGGATAGACGGATGGGCCCTCTCTTTTAATTACCACACCCAAGGACCCTCCCTTGGTCCTAAGTCCCAACAATGTCCCTAATGTCTGATCCTGCTGACCAAGGCCCTCACCTTTCCAGTATGAGGGATTTGTGTAAGCATGCCTCTTTTTTTGCTGTTGTTTAATGTTTTTCCTTCAGATATTTTTTTCAATGATACAACAAGGAATGGCCCAAAACAGAATGCTAAACAAAAACTTCACATAGCACTTTCAAATCAGAAATCTAGGTGGCTTCCATACCTGCAACAGATTTGTGTGGGCTGACAGCCCTCACCTGTGAGAAAGTGGCACCTGGCTTTAGGAGCACTCAGTCAGGCTGCATTTAAACAGTGGACTCACTGTCTGTCTGCAACAGTACCCTTGCTAATTATACACCACAGCACTACCTTGATGGGCACTCCAGCAACGTGAAGCCAAACAATTCTAATCTACTTCAAATACATACCATAAGAAGAGACAGAAAAGACAAAAAAACAGCAAGGTAAGGACATTTTCATGTGTTTTGCACCAACCACTTTCCTCTAGTAGAGTGGAATACATATTCAACAAGAATTGGAGGGAAGCATCGAACAGACCTTGCACAAGTCATTTTACCATTGCCAGACCTTGTCTGCTGCACAGAACAGCATGGAAAGGATCAAATTTGTAATATTTAGGGGCTCATTATTAAATGATCGCTATACGGCAATGAGGTAAGCCCAACCTGCTGATACTCATATCCAGTAAACTTGAGAAAATGTTCAAGAAATATCAGTTCAAACAATCAGATAGTCAGGGATCAGACAGGCACATAAAAGGTTGATGGAATCAGAGTAGTTTTTTTAAAGACAGAATTATGCCTAAATCATATCAAGGCAAAATCATGTCTAAATGCTGATGGGAAAGGAGTCAGGGATATGGGTAAGCAAAGCAGTTCTATTATGATATTATCTATAATGAAATTTTTGGTAACTGCTTAATAAAGTAATTGCAAGCATAGCTCAGAGATACTGCAGGTTTGGTTCCAGACCACCACAATAAAATGAATATCGCAATAAAGTTGAGTCAGACAAATTTCTGGTTTCCCAGTATATATAAAAGTTATGTTTACTCTAAACTGTAGTCCATTAAGTGTGCATTAGTATTATGTCTAAAAACCAATTTATATGCCTTAATTTTAAAATATTAATACTTCAGTGGTTAAAAAATGCTAACAATCACTTGTGCCTTCAAAAAGTCCTATTCTTTTTGCTGGTGGAGAGTCTTGCCTCTGTCTCTTCTCAAGAGCTTCCAAGGCCTTGCAGCAGGAAGACCTGGTGGTTGAGTGGAGGCATACCAGAGAGCACACACATGCGTGGGGTCGAGTAACTACTGACCTCAGAGAGGTTCTAGTTCTGTGGCCCTGACCACCTCCTAACACTTCGTGAAAGTTTCCCTTTACCTCGAAAGTCTCAGCATACCCAAGATTACATTCATGATTTCCCTCTTACATTGGCTTGCTCTCCTAGCATTCCCACTTTGGTTCATAATTCTGTTTCCTCCAGCCTTCCAAACTGGAAATATCAGTGTCACCTCTTCATTTTTCATCCTTTCTGCAACCACTGCCAGTAACAAGTGCTATCCACTCTACATCACCAAAACCTTGTATCCATCTCCCTGCAGCATCACCCAATTTCAATTTTTATTTGCTTTCATAACTGAACTCTCTGCCTGTATCTCCCTGAGTGGCTACACTTTTTTTTTTCTTTTTTCTTTGAGACAGAGTCTCACTTTGTTGCCCAGGCTAGAGTGCTGTGGTGTCAGCCTAGCTCACAGCAACCTCAAACTCCTAGGCTCAAGCAATCCTGCCTCAGCCTCATGAGTAGCTGGGACTACAGGCATGCACCACCATGCTCGGCTAGTTTTTTCTATATATATTTTTAGTTGGCCAATTAATTTCTTTCTATTTATAGTAGAGACGGAGGTCTTGCTCTTGCTCAGGCTGGTTTGGAACTTCTGACTTTGAGGGATCCTCCCATCTGGCCTCCCAGAGTGCTAGGATTATAGGCGTGAGCCACTGCGCCCGGCCCTAAGTGACTACACTTTTCATACAACTATCACAATATAAAACCCTTTGTTAGTTGCTTGCTGCCTGGCTTTCAAGAACCCCCCCACAACTTAAACCCAATCTTCTTAAATAACAACACTCCACTCTCAATAGGCTAGACTACGAATTAATCTACCAGTCACATGGGCTTCTCCCTCAGCCCTCACCTCAAACAGCCCCCTCCACTCTGCTTCAATTCCCACACCCCACCCAGATGCCGCCACCCCTGAAGCTTTCTTTGACCATTATCAGTCTCGGCAATCTCACCCCTTTTCTTCCTCTCAGAGCCCTTCAATTATATTTTTCATATCACATTTATTATCTATTACTTTCCACAGTATGCTGTTCAATGTGC